AAATTCTATTCTGATCAAGCCGAATTCATATTAATCAAGTACGTCTTCGGTAGGAATTATTGCCTGTACTCGATACCCTATGTCAGACCTTCGGCATGCTGCTGTGACTTTGTGGTTCTTAATTTCCGGGGAATTTGAGTAAATCCTTCAAAAGAAATCTTCCCAGGCTCGGTCAAAAATCTGATTGGTGTATCTAAAGATCGACGAAACACGCGTGTCTGGGCTTTTAGCTAGTATCTTTGTTGTCCGTGTGTTAAATAATTACATTGCGCTGTGAATTTGTAGATTCTAAGTCCGTTCAACGCAGTGGCCTCTATTCTCATTAGACAGGTACTTCGATTTAAGGGTTCCCTTGGTGGCCACAGACCTGTTTGTACCTTTAGGGTGTGTTCCCAACATAATCTACCACCCGATTTTGTTGTACTAACCCAAGTATCATCATAAAAAGAAACTGAAGGGTAGCAAGGTCTGTGTGAGGGAGGAGGGAGGCTTACTGAAGTTTGTCCGTTTGCTGCGTAATTCGAGGAGTTTGGGAAAAACTGGGCGCCAAACAAAGCCATGTCACAACTGTTGGCGTGGAAGAAGGGTATGGAGGGTCGCGCCAACGTCATCGCAGTCCCACCCCTAGTCTCCAAACCTATCGTAGAGCTGTACTGGTGTCCCGAGACTGTAGCCGTGGCAATTGAGTTGCTTGTGGACTGTCCAGTCGCCCGAGACACCCTCCGACCGCTCTCCAGGTCCATCGTCTGGAGGTCCGTGTGGGTAAAGGCAGTGGGTTGGTTTGCCTTGGTATTGGCGCTGCTGGCTACACTGACTGCAGAACTGTTAGCACCCTGTCTTTGGGAGAAGCCACGCGGCATTGAAAAAAGTGAGGGAGAAGAAGCAGATGGAGTAGAAGCTTGTGCATCAGTGGAGGCCTCATTTGAACGGTTCTGTGGAGAGACACAGTAAAGGAAAGATATTCACTTATAGAGGCGTTTGCTTCAGTCGACATGACCTAGAGCCCACCACCAGCAGCAACGTTCATTTGTTTGGGATCCACAAACATGCCAAAAATGGGGCAAGCAGATAAACTACATCCTCTGGTTGTTGCGAGGGGCCGGCAAGGCTCAAAGTCAAATGGAGAAATGTTTGATTCTGTCGCACGACAACCGGGTGGCCCGGGTGAAACTGACAGATTGAATTATGCCAATACAGGCGAACATGCGAGTCCCAAGAAGTAATTGAGAAGAAGACGACTCGATCGCTGGGCCCATACTTTTGTTCGCCTGACATTTTGATATCCGTCGCTGATTCGCCATCAGAGACATAGTCAGAGACAAACACGATGCAAGTACTGAAATCCAAAAGCAACCACCCAATCAACCACAAACGCAGTTTCGTGAGGACGCTCTATCGGAGTGTTGAGACGCACAGCAGTGAACCAGAAGATAAAGTTGCCGAGGTACAATACCTTTGACGGGTAATCAGAGAAAATGAATACCCGCGCAACTTCGTCAACCGGTGCCTACGCAAACGAGATGGCCAACAAAGTCGCACC